GCCGCAGCCCCGGGCCGCCGGGCTCCGCGGGGAGGGCAGGTCCCATCACCATGGTAAGAACCTCTGGTTTCCTCTGGTTTCCCGCAGACCCACGCTGCTGCCTGAGGACCCTTAGCAGGCGGGTGGGAGCGTGAGAGGACAGCCACCTGTGCTCCGGGGCCACGGTCAGCTTCTCAGGGGAAGGGCAGGGGCAGCCTCGCCACCAACTTGAAGAGACAGCCACTGGTTTGGGAAAAAGGACTCCTTTCGTGTCTGGGGTGATGCTGCCTTGTCACTGAGGAGGGGTGTCTGCCGGGCTCTCCCCAGGAGGATAGTCTCACGGTGACCTCAGTCGAGCCCCGATGGATGCCGGCTGCGAAGGGCACCCGCTCCTCTGAGCGCAGTTGGGGTTTCCGGGAGACTTTGGGGGAGCTGCTGCCTGCCTTCTTGATGTTTTCATGTGTCTCCAAACCGGAGCAGCTTTCTGTTCTGACGAGTGAATTGTCACCGTCTGCGGACTCCACCGCTGGTTGGAGGCATTTGCAGGTTCAATGTTACCAGAGCCAACGTCTAAGTGATGCATTCATTTTTTTCCTTTTAAAACTGTCATCATGCCCGGCCGGCGTGGCTCAGTGGTCGAGCGTCGACCTATGAACCAGGAGGTCCCGGTTTGATTCCCGGTCAGGGCTCATGCCCGGGTTGTGGGCTCGATTCCCAGTGTGGGGTGAACAGGAGGCAGCCAGTCCATGATTCTCTCTCATCATGGATGTTTCTATCTCCCTCTCCCTCTCCCTTCCTATCTGAAATCAGTAGAAACATGTATATACACTGAGCGGCCAGATTATTATGTCCACCCCATCAGTACTTCATTGACACTTCCAAAAATACTGAATATTGAAAACTTCCTAAGCACATACTCTCAAGGTTTTATTATATTTATTTGCATAACTAATTCACTTCATTGTACTGATTGGATGGTCATAATAATCTGGCCACTCAGTGTATATGTTTTTAACAGCCTGTCATTTGCAGGCAGAAGTGACAAGAGCCCACATTGTGCAGGAAAGTGTTGTGTGACTTTGTTGGGAGGAAGTTTGTCGATTCCCTGTGCAGAGCAAACATGGCTGAGGCAGGTGCACCTTGTGGACATGTGAGGTCCTTGGAGGGGGCGTTAGGATTGACCGTGGACATGACCGTGTGCTCAGTTCACGGTCTCGGCTCCGTGTGACTTTTCTCCATCACCTGTGCCACGGGGAGGGGCGGGAGGAAGAAGACCCCTTCTAACAAGTGAAGCCACTGGATGTTTTCTTTCAGGAGTCAGGGATGAAGGTAATAATATTGCATAACATTTAGGAGAAAATAGAAGCCATCGCTGTGTAGCCAGTGCGCCTGATATACACGTGTTTGACGGCACAGCTGATGTGTGGGAAACGATTGTTCCGTTTATAATCCCGATGAATGGAGAGCGCTGATGAGGGGAGTGTGGGCATTTATAGAAGTGGGTCGGCCTGCCCAGCCACTCGGAGAAGGGCCACGGGGGGCCGGTGGACGAGAGCATCTCAGTTCAGTTCCTGACCTCCTCATCCACCGGGGCACCCGTCAGCGGCTGGGAGACCCCGGGAAAGAAGCTGCAAAGATGAGAAACAGGCTCCCCCCCCCCCCCCCGCCCCCCCCCCCCCCCGCCCCCCCCCCCCCCCGCCCCCCCCCCCCCCCGCCACTGAGCTCTGCTACTGTTTCGGCATCTCCTCCGTTGTAGACGTGCCTCTGGCCTGTAGAGAAGTCACATTAAAAGCACTTATTTCTCCTGAACCAGCAGGACGGGGGGGAAATCACCTCCCCAGCCTGAGGGTTCACGGGGCTCCTTCGTGCTGGGAAGGCATAATCATTCTTTTCTTCCCCTCAGTAGCCCAAGAACATTCCTTTAAGGATTAGAAAGCACGGGGCTGAAATGCCCAGAGAGCCCCTGCCAGCACACTTCCAGCGTGGGCACAAGCTTAAGGCCAGTGACAGTCTTTTTTTTTCCTTTCTTTTCTTTTTCTTTTTAAATGTATTTTATTGATTTTTTACAGAGAGGAAGGGAGAGGGATAGAGTTAGAAACATCGATGAGAGAGAAACATCAATCAGCAGCCTCCTGCACACTCCCTACTGGGGATGTGCCTGCAACCAAGGTACATGCCCTTGACCGGAATCGAACCCGGGACCCTTGAGTCCGCAGGCTGACACTCTATCCACTGAGCCAAACCAGTTAGGGCTCTTTTTTTAAAATACATTTTTTTATTGATTTCAGAGAGGAAGGGAGAGGGAGAGAGAGATAGAAACATCAATGATGAGGGAGAATCATTGATCCGCTGCCTCCTGCACGCCCCACACTGGGGATCGAGCCCACAACCTGGGCATGTGCCCTTGACCGGAATCGAACCTGGGACCCTTCAGTCCGCAGGCCAACGCTCTGTCCACTGAGCCACACCAGCTAGGGCCTAGTGACAGACAGCCTTGCACAGCGGTCAGGGAGAAATACCAGGAGGCGATCGGGGGCTGGGGCACATAGACACAATAGCACGGCCTGCTATGAACGTGTTTAGATTTTCAAAGGAGCCAGCTTCCTTCTGAGTCCGGGAGAGGGACCGTGGGGACCGAGAGGGTGACCAAAAAGGGGTGGGGGGTGGGGGAATGTGACTGCAAGCTGCCTGCTTCCAGGCCATCCTCTGGCTCTTTTGACTCATGACTGTTTAGAGAGCGGGAAGACGTTACCCAATTGTACATTAAAACCAAAGCTTCGGTCTGCACCAGCTCTTCCCAAATGCAGACACTAAGATGATAACACTTGGGCAGAGAAGACATCCTGCCCAGCTGGCTTTTGCAAAGGGAACTGTGTGTATCTTCCCTCCGAGCCAGAACCCGGTCCGGAAAGCAGGGGGCTGGCAAACCAGCCTTTGACTGCAAGGGGAGTGCATCTACGGGTTCGACTTGCTCTAAGGCCCCCCCCACGACTCGAAGGAACCTGATCTGTTTCTCATCACACAAATGCAGTCAGTTACCTTCCCAGAGCAAAGGCGCTCAACCCCTGGACCTTGTGAGAGTCAGCAGGGTGGGGCCTGCTGGGTGGTATACCAGATGGCCAGCGTGACGTGGGCTCTGGCCTAGGGTGGCTTTATCTTTTATTTTTAAAACTACAAATGTAAAAGCATTGCAAATAAGGAAACCCACACTGCATGACTACTAACAGCTTTAAATTATTCCAAAGCCAAGGAAATTTCTCGATGTTTTCCAATAATATTTTGTAAATATGTAGGACATCGGTGCTATGTTTTAATCACTTTCGTAATCTTCATTCTTCCTTGTAGGCAGATGATGTTGTTGTTGTTGTTGCTGCTGTGATTGTACTGAGGCAAGGCACAGAGACATTAAGTACTTTCCTAAGGACACACAGCTGGTAAAAGAGATAGTGCCAGGGTGGGGCCCTGGCTTCTTAAACTGCCTCACCACATAGCCTTCGAAGATACAGTGGGGCCTTGACTTACGAGTGTCCCGACTGACGAGTTTTTCAAGATACGAGCCGTCTCTCGGCCGATTTTTTGCTTTGAGTTGCCAGCTAAAATTCGGGTTACGAGCCAGCTTCAGATACCCCACCGCTAGTTGGCGCAGCGAATGTCACAGTGAACGCCACAACATCAGCCCAGCATCAC